CAGCCAATATATAAATCACTGCTACGATTAAATAGCTTTTTATCAATTTTACACCAGAGAATATCATTAATATTATTTTCTGTGTTAATTCTAGTGATGAAATGTTTAAATTTGTCCTTGAACAAAACAGCAACTCCACCTCTCCTACATTTTGATGAGTTATTTCCAGACTGTCTATCTTTACGGATTATTTCATAATTATCTAAGACAGCTGGGAGAGAAACTTGGGTTATATCATTATTCAACCAGGTCTCCTGAATACAAATAAAATCTTAATGGAGAAATAAAGTTAATAAACTCATGATCCTGGCTCTTATTTTGGATGCCATTTACATTCCAACTACCTAACTTAAAGTAGGGCAGTGCGTTGCTATGAAAATTTCTCATACTTTTTAAATCAAATTCAGGGGGACTAAAAGGAAAAAAAGCTTTAGTATATATATAAAAAAAAAAAAATATTTCGGAAAACAATATTCAATGAGTGTTAGTATAGATATCAAAAAAACTAGAAAATACTAATAAAAAAAAAAAAAAACGCTAAGGACACAAGAGTATGTGTGAACTTGTCGTAGCAATCAATAAAAAACTAAAGTGCAATCAAATGCATAAAAAAAAAAAAAAAAAAAAAAAACTATTGGCGTGACAACTACACAGTCAGTTACTAACAGTACTTGTGTACTATTATGAAAAGAAAAGAAAAACAAAACAAAATCGGTTCTGTTGAAAGTACACCCTTGTATGATTGCAAGAGTGGAAAGACAACAATTACTAATCAAACGTTTTCAACGGTAACTTTGGATGTAAAACGGAAATTAAAATTCAAAATCAACTGGTTCTACCAGTTGGAAATTTGCTTTGTAAAACGGCGAAGTAAGTCCACTTTACTCAGAATGTAGGTTACTTTATGCAGGATGCAAGTCTTTTAATTCAGATGTCTTATAAGTTAGCATAGCACTATTTTATTGAATGATATCTGCTCTTGAGTCATGGAAGTTGTACATAACTGAATATTAATTGTATATATATTTGTATATACACTGTATATGGTATACTGTAGAATACTTTATTTTCGCTTGGAATTTATTTTTGCTGAAAGGGTGATTCCGTGAAAATAAAATTCAGCGAATATACTTTTTTCCCTATATTTCCAATTCAACTCGTCAAAAATCAGTGACAATAAATTCCATACAAAACAACCAAAATGCCTTTTCAGCGAAAATTATTTCCAGCTAAAATAAAGTATTTCACAGTATGTGTCTCCCATAATAGATCAAATAAACACTAATGAATAATATTTACTGTGATCGTGGAGCTATTTATAGTCCAGTGTTACATCACAGAGGCCCTAGAACCTGTCATATTTTAGAAAAATAACTTTAAAATAAAAATTAACAAATTTACGTGTATGTGTACATTTACCAATATTGATTTTGTAATATACTGTAAAAGGATTAATTATTCACTGGGTTTTAAATTTGCTTAATTCACTGACTGGAAAATGTGCTAAATTAAAACCCAGTGAATATGTAAAATTTAGCATAGAACACATTATGTAAATGATAAAACCGTGAATTTAAAACCCACAGAATATGACTGAAATAGTAAATCGGCGATATTTGAAATTGTTTCATAAACAGAATGCTAATAGATGATTTTCCGTACAATTGCGAGATCTCGCGAGATGCATGTAAGACGCGCGTCGAACGTCTGCCGCAAAAAACGAACAATTTGATTTCGAAATTCGAGTTTCTGTATTTCGTAGCTCACATCGACCAGCCGATCTTTGACAGAGGAATATTGCTTTCGAATACCCTTACTTAATCGAAATTGTCTATCACCAAATGTGTACAGCACATTATTAAGCATGGAAATGCCCCCAAAATATTTTCACGTTTGTCGAATCCCACAAGATGTTTGACAACAAAATGACGCTATGACCTTTGTTCGTCCTGTTTTTACCTTCGATTTCACACATAACGCGTGATTCTCGTAGTGAACGGATAATGGTCAATTACTATAGTTGTATTGTGGTTTCCAAACAAATGCGAATCTGCAAAAATATTGGTAAAAGGGTGGTCACAAAAAACAGGTAATCTTTATACTCGGGTTGCTCCTATGTTATGCCTTGGGACTGCATAAAAATGGTCACTATAGATGGTCTTTATATAGAGCTAGTCGATAACACAGGTTTGACTGTACAAGTTATTTTCTTATTTTTATTCTAGGAGCGCAACAAGACACGCCTGAAATAGATACATATTCTGATTTTTTGATGACTGACCTAATCAATGGTCTCTATCGCACCACACAGACACTCCGAACAACACTGAGTGCAAAATTACAACTTGTTGACAATGTACCAAGTTTTCCAGTAGCTGAGGCAGTTTTGTTTTCAACCAAACTTAAAGTTAGTGTGATATGTTTTCTAATCGGGATTTTTATTATGTGGTGTTGGATGGAAAAACAACGAGGGAAATATCTTCAAAAGACTATAGCTGTTGCTAAGAGACGACCAAAAACTACTATTGACTCTTCTTACCATAGTCTGCATGTGTTTGGAAAAATGAGCACTCGCATTATCATAATCTCTGCTGTTGCTAGTGTACCATGGGAGTGGATCAGGATGTATCAGAACGAGGTAGCAAAGAAGGCATCTACTTTGTATCAGGTATATCTCCATCTTATCTTTGTCAGTTTTTATTTCAAGAAAAGACTATCTAAAATTCATTAATTATAATACATGTTGTGACTTGTTTCTTTCTCAAGTATAAAAGAATTGATTAGACATGTACCTTACTGTGAAGGCAACATCTCTGATTAAGCCTACTAGTAGTCAGCCATCCGATCAGTGAATTACAGGTTCTTCTCAGAATGTTGTAGAGTAAGGAGCACACAATAGTCTATTGGCTGGTAATTTTACAAACCAGCAAGACATTCAGCTGACTGTTGATCACTAGGGGCAGGGGTTGTTCTAGAAAAAATTGCAGTCTGCAATTCAGCGCCGCCACCAAGTGGGGGAGATAGGGTTCTTCCTATCAGGGTGTGGAGTTTTTGATAATTGTTAGTTAAAATGGAGCATTCTATGGCATCCTTGGGGCCAAAATTACTATAAGACAGGTCACAGTGGATGACTGTGGCCACATGTGATCCCTGGTCAATCAGAATTTTATGGTTGCCAGAGGATCTGTTCCCCAGGGTAAGGGGGCACATGGCCATGGCATGAGGGCACTGCGCCCCTGTTCCCTTGTTTTAAAAAATTCAGGGATGTTGCCTCCAGAATAAGTTAAATCCGGTATGATCTGTTCTTTATTTTATTATGTCTCCCATGTGATACAATGTATGATGCAGCTTGAATGAAAACACTGCGAAGTGACACAAACTCTTCTGAGAAGTAATCACTACAGATCATCTATTGTATGCATTGTGGTCACAGTAACAGTAGTTTTTTCGATAGAATGTAATTTTGATAATCAGAATAAAAATTGTGTGGCGCTCTCATGTACATGTTAAGATACTTTTCTTTTTCTATCTTGTGGCTGAAATGAAGAGTGTGAATTCTTTATTTGTAACGATTGAAAGTTCAATTTAATATTTTTATTGTTACTGTAACTGGTAATTGTTTATAAACTTGCTACATGTTTATAAATTGAAACATGATTTTTTGGTGTCTACATCATGTAATTCCAGTCACCTGACATTTATAAAACACATCTTCACATTCAGTCACCAGACATTTAAAAAACACATCTTCACATTCAGTCACCTGACATTTATAAAACACATCTTCACATTCAGTCACCAGACATTTATAAAACACATCTTCACATTCAGTCACCAGACATTTATAAAACACATCTTCACATTCAGTCATCAGACATTTATAAAACATATCTTTACATTCAGACATTTATAAAACACATCTTCACATTCTATCACCAGACATTTAAAAAACACATCTTCACATTCAGTCACCTGACATTTATAAAACACATCTTCACATTCAGTCACCAGACATTTATAAAACACATCTTCACATTCAGTCATCAGACATTTATAAAACATATCTTTACATTCAGACATTTATAAAACACATCTTCACATTCAGTCACCAGAAACATTTATAAAACATATCTTTACATTCAGT